AGAAATTTTTAAAGAAGCTACCTTAAACCAGTTTCATCAAAAATATCTTTTAACCAGTTTTTGAAGAAGGCGAGGAAGGCTTTTGTCGATTCTCTCCTTCACAAGGATAAGAAAGAACATGAAACCAGACCTCACAATTGTGAATTAGAAGGCTGTCAAATGAGTTTCAAGACAAAGGCAGAGCTTCTCCCTCACAAACGCAATCAGTGCCTAGTAGATAGGTGCACGAAGAAAGTCAAGTTCTGCAAATATGAAGCACAACACCACTTCGTTCATGATGATGATAGCCCCCTCAAGTGTCCATGGGAGGGTTGTACTATGTCATTTAAGTGGGCTTGGACAAGGACTGAACACTTACAAGTGCACACTAGATTCAAGAATTTTTTGCCCGTACTAAAAAAATTTCCTAGGTCCGTCCCTACTCTTAATAATTATACAAAACGTAATGTTGCTATTATGTATATGTAATAAGAGTTTATTGACCTATGGTTATAGGATTTGGGATATGATATTGTTTAACACGTGCATTAGTTGGAATAGTATCATGGTTATTATGACTCCATAATTATTATCTTAACCTAAAACACTCTGTAAATAGTAATTTCCTTATCATATAAATGTGTAATTTCCTTATCATATAAATGTGTAGAAGTTAACTCTCAAGTGCTTATTAAATCTTTATAACTTAGTTGTTCAATTAAACCAAGATTTTGGAACTCTAGTCAGCAAGATTATTACCATTATAAAGATCACTAAGTAGTAGGCTTTAAGCCCATATCGTTTGATAAGCAGTACAATTGTTCTCTTGGTAAACCTTTAGTAAGTTGATTTACGAGATTATTTCATATAATCTATTGAGATGACACCATTTAAGATCAACAGTTTAATAATAGCCGAGTAATTTTCACAATGCATACTAATTGTAGGCACTGGCTTAGGTCAATATGGGATGTGTTTTGTAAAGTTACGAAGCTACTCTGCTTTTTCTTTGACTTTATCTAAAGAAATAAACTCATATTTCATTATGGATCGAGCTATACACATTTTTGTTTTGAAGACTTCCAAGATACGACTATACCATCAATGGTAAAAATATAACCACTAGTAGACTTTGATCCTTTGTGTCTGATATCCAATTTGCATCATTGTATCTTTCTAATACAACTAGAGATATCTTTTATAATATAATCAAACATTTGAGGTGAATCGTAAATATCTAAGAACCTTAGCTAATACTTTTCAATGGTCATCACCTAGATTACTTATAAATCTACTAAGCTTGTTGATTGAATAAGTAATATTGAGACGTGTGCACTTTATAATATATATTATATAGTCTATTATTCGAGGATACTCCAACTGAAATACGGTTCGCCTTTATTCTTGACCAAATGTAGACTTAAGTCTACTTGAACTTTAGCAGGGTTTTTGTCGTAGGCATAAAACTTCTTAAGTGTAGTCTCAACTTAGTGAGATTTAGGTAAAATAACTCCCTCAAATGTTTTACTAATTTAATTTCTAATATAACATCTGTTACACCCATATCTTTTATGCCAAAATATCTTGCCAACATTTTCTTTGCAGTCATTAAGATATTCATAACTAACATGTCATCATTATATAGACATACAATTACATATATGCTTGGTATGGTTTTGATGTGAGCACACTTATCATACTCATTAATATTAAAGTCATTTGACAATATAGTTTTGTCAAATTTTTTATGCTAATATTTTGACGCTTGCTTTAGTCCGTAAAAGAATTTAACGAGTCTATATAGCTTTTTCTCTTGTTCAGGAACAGTAAACCCCTCAATTTATTCCACACATATTTCTTCTTTTAATTCATTATTTAAGAAAGTTATTGTTAGAATTTCGACATGACCTGGATTTTTGTTAAGTATTTGATTAGAAATACTATTGGAGGATTATTGAGAGTTGGTTGTAGACTTGAACTTGTCTTGAAGAGTCCAAGATTGATTATGATCCGAATTTTTTTTTTGCAGTTTCTGACTCCTATTTCATCCCAAATATTTCATTATTAGTTTTACCTATTATAATAAGGCTTCATCTTGTGTTAGACTCTTGTTTGTATTAATTCTCTAATATGTTAGGGGTTCTTGTATTGTAAATATGTGGTGTATTATATATATTTATTTGATCGTTCAGAGAGTGATCCCGAGAATCTAGAGAGAGACTTATATGATAGAGGGATCATGTTGAGAGTCTTTTGGGACCTAGATTCACATAACATATTTGTAACTCCTTACTGTTAATTATAGTGAATGCTCAACTTCTGCCTGTGGGTTTTCCCGGATTTGAGTTTCCACATTAAATCTTGTGTGCTTGTGTGATCATTTTCATCTTGCTCATATTTTCTTAACTTAATATTCATAAAAAGTGGTATAAGTTCTATAATCGGGTTATTCCAAATTGGCTTGTTTTTCAACAAGTAGTATCAGAGCTCTGACAGTTTTGGGAGAGCTAGTTTGGTCTTATGTTAAGCGAGGTTTGATGAACAAAGTTTGATTGTTTTGAAATTACAAGTATGAAGTTTGATATTCAACTTTTAGATTGTAATAAGATTTTTTGTTATGACGAATTTTTTATTTAGATGCTAGAGGAGAAGCAATATAAGGATCGACTATATGTTTTGGAAGGTTCGACGATCACTTTAGATGAAGCTACGACTTATAGGTTGATAAGTGACAACTCGATTGAGTTGGTTGTGATCATGTTGCTCCTGGTGATTCGAGTAATGGTATTGTAGAACCTACCACTAGCTCAGGTGGAGCTAGTTTTTATCTTAATGAACCTGTGCCTCATGGTGATTCGAGTAAGATTGGTAATTCAAGTGGAGTTGATAGTGAACGAGATGATTTAAGTAGGTTTAGGGCCCAAAGTAATTGTGCTGGTAAACAAAGCTTGAATTTAGTCCACAGTGATTGAGTTTGCTCTAGTTGGACTTTGTGAAAGACGTGGAGTAATTTGGTGGAGAATTTTGTTGGAGAATTTTATTGAAAAATTAAGTTTTATTCCTTCCAGTGAAATCCGTATCAATGTGGAGGTTTGATAGAATTTCGGTGTGACCCAAATTCTTATTGATTATTTGATTGGAAATACTATTGGAGGATCATTGGAAGTTGATTGTAGATTTGAAGATATCTTAAAGGAGTCCAAGATGGATTAGGATCCTAATTCTGTTTGTTTGTTTTTTTTTTTTTTGACTATTTTTTACTCTTATTTCATCCCAAATATATTCCATTAATAGTTTTACCTATTGTAATAGAACTTCACCTTATATTAGACTATTTTTTATATTAATTCTCCTAATATGTTAGGGATTCTCATATAATAAATAAATGGTGTATTACGCATATTTATTTGATCAACTCAAAGAGTGATCCAATGGATCTATAGAGAGACTCTCAAGATAGAGAGATCAGGTTGAGAGTTTTGCGGGATCTAAATTCGCATAACATACTTGTAGTTCCTTACTATTGATTATAATAAATTCTCCACCTCTACCCGTAGTTTTTTCCGAATTTGGGTTTCCAAGTTAAATCTTGTATTTTTGTGTGATCATTTTTATCTTACTCATATTTTCTTGGCTTTAATATTTATAATCAGTGATAATCAGTGATATAAGTTCTATTATCGAGTTATTGCAAATTGGCTTATTTCTCAACAGTTATCTTAACATCTATATAATAGATCTCCAAATTATGCAATGTGGCAGTTGCAATAGTTCCAAAGTCTAAACAATTTTTTTCAAATGATGCTCCATACTCTCTACATCTATCACTATGAATAGCCTTAAATCGTTCGACCTCATTCTTGTGCTGTTTAAATACTTCTCAGGGTTTGTCTTTACTTCTTAAAAAATAAGTATAATAGTATTTTGTACAATCATCTATGAGATTAATATGTGCCTTTTATCACTCCTAGTTTGCATAAATTTTAAACTATAGATATCACCATAAATTAATTCTGGAGGATTTATGTTCATTTCAACCAATGGAATTGTGTTTTGGCTAATTTAGAATTTGCACAAGTTTCGTACTTATGATTTTTATCAAATGGAATAAGTAGACAATAAATTCAAACTTAAAATTTTAGTAAAGTACTAAAACTAACCTGTCTTGATCTATCATATCATAATTTGGAGGACTCAATCAAGTAAGCATAATATTTATCTTATTAACATCAAAATCAGGAAGTACAGGCACACATTCACTTCACTACAACAAAAATACTCTTTTACAACACTTAAAAGACAACATTTGTTGATAAATGTCGCTAAAATGGTCTTTTTTTAGTAACATTTTAGTAAGTGAATGTTGCCATTGGTTAGTATAAATAAGTTTTGGCAACCTTTTATAGAAAAATGTTGCGATAGATCCCCTTTTTACAACGTTTATTGAGTGTTGCGGAAAGTTTTATTTTTCGCAATGTTTATGAAACGTTGCAAAAGGCCTCACTTTTCGCAACATTTTATAGAAAAATATTGCGATAGACCCCCTTTTGCAACATTTATTGAGTGTTGCGGAAATTTTTATTTTCGCAACGTTTATGAAACGTTGCAAAGGCCTCACTTTTCGCAACGTTTGTCAAACGTTGCAAAAGAAGCCTTTCGCAACGTTTGACAAACGTTGCAAAAGAAAATCCTTTTGCAACGTTTGACAAACGTTGCGAAAAGTAGACCTTTTCCAACGTTTATCAAATGTTACAAAAAAGTTAGTAGCCCAATCAACTACCCATCATCATAGCCCAATCCAACAAATTTAAAACATCGGTTCGTAGTCTTCGCGTCTGTTCTCCTCCAGCCTCCATTTCAATTTGCACTTCACCGCCTCCGCCTCTGCTCTCCTCCTCTACGAGGCGGCGTTGTGCTAGGATTTTGATCAGAAAGTGAACGCCGCCAACAAGATCACACAATCTGGGCAAATTTCAGAAAGCCTGAGTTTGAGTGGTGCTTTAACCAAAGAAGATGAGGAAATGGGAAGATTTGCTCTGTCAACTTTCATGGTTGAGGAAGAGGAGATTCAGACGAGGAAAATGGAGGTTCAGGAGAGAGTTCTAGCACATATGGGTCGTATTGAACAAGAAAATAGGCGTTTGTCCACTGTCCGTGAGGTATTTTCTTGGGTTATTTCTACATTTTTTATGTGGTTTGTTTTTATGGATCTGCAGAGAATTAAGAAGAGGGATTTCAGTCCTGAAATTTCATTAATATTTTACTGATTTTGTGAGATAATTTACATAATAGGAGTTTAATGTTGTAATCGGTTTCATTTTTGAAGCATAATTTAGAGGACAATTTACTTTTTGCAATTTCATATGTCAATTGGTTGTTCTTCACTTATTGTCATCCCAATAGTGAGCGAACTATTTTTGTAAAATTTATCAGTTGATAGTAGTGTTTCTTGCCGGATCCAGACTGCTTTTAAATGAGATTATCAAATAATTTATCTATCTTTTGAAGGGCTAAAAGATGGGTTTAGTTTTAGCCCTATATTTACAATTAACCATTTCAATTATGGGCTTCATCTCTTCTGATAGCATGTATTTCTAGGTATTTTAAGCTTGAGAAGAATCATGCCCTGTTATATGAATATGCCTGTTGAAAGCTAGAGCTCAATTATGAGATTTATGTGCATACCATAAAAAATGGATGAGAAATTTCAGTATCTAAAGCTAATGACTTTTCAATTTGTCGATGGTACTACCTCAAACCAACTGTAAATTACAATTATCAGGAACTAGAGGCCCTAGCTGATCCAAGGAAGAAGGAAGTTACACTTGTTCAAAAAAAGATTGATGCAGCCAACAAGGAGTTAAAAACCCTAGACAGACCTGTCAGAAGAAGGTGAAATATTTTGACTGACTTTATTTAATTTGAGACTAATTATTGATGCTTAAACTTCCATTTTCTGTGAAGAAATTAGCTGGAGTACTTCACCCAATTGCTCAAATATATATAGTTAAAAAATTGAACAGTCATATCTTGTGACAAGGGGAATAAATGAAAACTGTCAATAATCAGGTTTTGTCATCTATTAATTGGTAATATCATCTTTATGATTTTGCAGGAGTATAGAGTTTCTTTGGCAAGAAGGGCATACTGCTTTTACGATAAAGGAGGAGGCAGATACTGAGGTACTTCTTGCTATATTATGGATTGCAATGCCAGGATTTTCACTTGTTATGAAGATTCCGAACTTTTTAATTTTGACTAAATCTTACTTGTAAAGTGGATCCACAATTTGAACAATTTAAAGACTTGCATTTCAAAGTACTGCTTTCTGGCTCATGGTTTTTTTTTTCACTTTCACTATACTCAAACATGTATGTGAGTAAATTGTGCATTGTGAATTGATCTATGCAGGCTGCTAATGTAAAGGATCAAGATTCAAAATGGAAGTAAACTTACTTTATATTAATAAGAGTTTGTTTAGTACCAATAATGGAACATAAGAAAACAAGAATTAATATGATTCAGTGCAATGTTTGCTTGTCTGTTCATCATTTATTGACTGAAGTAAAGTAGTATCTATTTTTGCTTTCAGAATTTGTTGTGGTGCTTTATCTACTAACTCTTCAGATTGTTGCTTGCTAGAGAACTAAATCTTTCCCTTTATTCAGAGATTTTGGATCCATCTTTTCTACTTTGTTACTTGGCACAAGGGCAAAACTGGAACCTCTTGAAGGATACATTTTCCTTGATGGTCTGGAGGTTCGTGTTTCATTTGGAGGTGTTTGTAAACAGTCCTTATCAGAACTTAGTGGAGGGCAAAGATCTCTGTTTGCACTCTCTCTAATCCGTGCATTGCTTTGTGCCTCCGATTCTGCCCCTGTTTTGGTCCCGTTTGGTGCTGCTTCTGTGTGGTTACTTTGGCTGGTTTTGGGTTTCCTTTGTGGTCCATTTGAGTGGGTAATCTTGGTCCAATTTGTGTGGTGTTGCTATGTGGTGTTGGCTCTTAATCTGAGA